CGACCCCCTCGGAGCGCGGTCTCCGCCCCTGGCCGCGGGAGCCCGTCTTTGGGCGCGGCCGGGCGCGGTGAGCGCGGCGCCCAGGGGGTTAAGCGCAGAGGCGGCCCCGGGGGGCTTGGCCGCGGGACAAGGGGAAATGCTTACACAGCACATTGCGCGGCGACGTAAACAAAGCTGACCCGCCGCGGACCTCGGCGCGGGCGGGGACGGCGCCCCCAGCCCCTCCCGGTCTCCTCTTGGGTCCCCAGGGCGGCCCCTCCCCACCGGCCGCGCGCTGTCGCCCGCAGATTTCTTTGCCAAGCGCAAGAGATCTGCGCCCGAGACCAAGTCATCGGGCGATGTCCCCGCGGGGTGCCCCTCTCCCAGCGCCGCTAATGGGGTGGGCGCGGCGGAGCAAACCCCGCGCAAGAGGCTGCGGTGAGTTAGGTGAGTACGGCGGCCTGGGGGCGCGGAGGGCCCGCCCCGCGGGTCCTTGTGTCTTTGCTCACCAGAACGTTTTCCCCCCCTGCAGTTTAGAGCCCAAAGAGCCCCGAGCGACCTGCTGGGGCAGCGGACGTTGGAACAGCGCTGGGCCTCGGCCGGGACCGTTCATGTAGCAGCAACCGGCGGCAGCTGCCGCAGAGCAGCGGTCGGTTTTGTGTTTAAAATTCGAAAACTGTGCAATGTATTGTCTTTTTATATCTAAATGTATTCTGCACGAGGAGTACACTGGTCCCAAGGTGTAAAGCTTTAAGAGTCATTTATATAAAATGTTTAATCTCTGCTGAAACTCAGTGCAAAAAAATAGAAAAAGAAAAAAAAAACCGAAAAAAGAAAAAAACCATGTATATTTGTACAAAAAGTTTTTAAAGTTATACTAACTTATATTTTCTATTTATGTCGAGGCGTGGGTCGCTCTGCCACGCCATCGCTCGGTTATTGGTCATGCCAAAGGCCCTACCTACCACCCGCACCTGGTTATCAAGTGTAAATTTATTTTTGTAGCGGACTCTGGGGGAGGGGTCACCACAAGCTGTAGCCGCGTACATGCCCAATCTAGCTTGCAGTCTCTTCGCGCTTCGCTGTCTTTTATTATTACTGTTATTATTTGAACTTGAAGACAAATCTGTTGAAATGGTTCCTGAGCCGTCTGTACCACTGCCCCGGCCCCTCGTCCGCCGGGTTCTAAATAAAGAGGCCGAAAAATGCTGCAATCCTAGTCTGTTTGTGCTTGTACGCCCTCCAGCTCCCTCCTCCCACACCCCCAAAGCTGGAAAGCTAGGGAGATAGGACAGGGGCGACAGCGGGCCTAAATGGCCCCTTGTCAGGGGACAGCCTCGGGTTACTTTCTACAGAGTCCCTCCAAAAGGGAAGGAGGTTTTTCTCTTGGCTAGGCTTGGCCCACACCCACCTGCTCCAGACCCCTTGTTTAGGGACAGGTCACCCCCCACGTGCAGGGCTGCAGGAAGACCCTGACATGCTCCCAAGACCCCGACTCACAAGCTTCCCTTGTTCCAAGTAAACCACTCACACTGCCCGCCACCCCGGGCTGCACAAGGTGGAGTCCTGACTGCTCCAGGGTCCCCAGCTTCGTGGGCCGAGATCCCCCAGGGTTGGGCAACTAGACTCCTGAAGTCTATTCGCGCCTCTTCGGTGGGGGAGGGGCAGCCTCAAGGCCTGCGGAGAGGGGGAAGGGGAGAAAGTGGAAAACAAGGGGGGGGACGGGAGGCTCCCCGGGACCAGGAGGGGACAGGGAAGGGTGGGCTCCGCCCGGGCTTGGTGGAAGAATCTGAGGCTGCGTCCATCCTGGTGCACCCACGCTGCTGACCCCACCGGCCTGTTGGTTTCAAAGTGCTCCCTTTTCGTCAAAAAGGAGAAGTTTATTTTTTTTATAGTTGACCTATAAACCTCTGAAAATTATGGCTTACAATGGAAAGGGTGACGTAAAATAGCAAAAACAGAAGGGCCAGCAGCCTTCCTGCTGGTGCCGTGGGCAGGACACGGGTCTGGAGGATGCTATGGGCCAAAAGCAGGGCGCTGGCTGCCCCCACGGGTCAGGGACGAGGGCGGGTGTGCCCCTCGATCTTCAAGATGTGTTTAGATACATAAGTCACTTCACCTCTCCCCCGCTGCCCAGGGAGGAGGGTGGTGGCAACCAGGGAATGAAACCTGTGGAGGCCTGACTTCAGACCCCAAACCTCTCCTCCTGGGGAGAACCCCTACCACGTCCACCTGTGTGACAAGACGAAGCCCTTTCCCGTCCCAGAGGAAGGAGGTTGGCAGTGCTTCACTGCGGGCAGTGGGGACAAGGAGCCGGGAGGATGCTGCGCCGAGTGCCTGGCAGGCACTGAGTGGGTGGGCACTCAAGGGGACCTGAATTGGTAACAACTGTTGGTGACAGAATCTGGCTGGGCTGGTGCTGCACAGTCCACAAAGCCGTCTGCTGCAGAGGCCCCTCTGGCAGGCAGGGCCGGCCAGGCATCCGTCTGTGCCCTGCTTCTCACAGCCCTGGGCCCTGGCGTGGGGTACTGGGGTACAGCCCACCGGCTGTGCCGCAGCAGTGTCACTCAAGGGTGGCTCTCTCAAAAGCAGTGTGAGGGTTGCCTGGGAATCATGTGACCCCAGGCAAGCCCTTCTTTCCCTCTGGGGGCCTCAGTTTCCCCATCTGAGCTGAAAAATGTCTAAAGTTCCATCAAGCCCTGGTGTCTTCTGATACTCACGTGAGGCTAGTCACAGAAATAACCTCTGATGGCACTGTTTGCGAATGACTGAACGCACGTATGTGCGTGTGTGCCCCTAGGCCTCCCCCAAGCCCACAACCCACGGGGATCATAAGGAGCACAGCAACCATCACCAGAACCAAGCACAGGGGCGGTGGTGGCCTGTCTCTGTACCAGGCACGTGCTCTGAGCAGGATTCATCATCAATGAGATCCAGCCAACAAGGTCCCACGTGTTGCTCACTTGTCGGGGGTGGAAACCGAGGCACAGAGTGACCCACCCAAGGTCACGCCACTGCCTTTGGCAGGGCAGAGGAATTTTGGACTGGGGTACTCTAGTGCTGGCCTAGAAACGATTGCACTGCCGGGCCCCCCCTTCCCCGTCCTCTCCTACATATCTCCCATACCTCCCTGGGCCTGATGGGCTGGGGTTAAAGGTTGGATTTTGTCTGCCGGCCGTGGGGAGCCCCTGGAGGGATGGAAGCCAGGGGTGACAGGACCATCTGCTGCTGGATGGAGAATGGAGAAGAACCAGCAAGAGGGGTGGGGGCGAGGGTGGGGGGTACACTGTGGCCATTCAGGCAGAGGTCCTGCGCTGGGCAGATACTCTGAGAGCCTTCAGGACGTCAGACCCTGTTCTAGGCACCAGAGACATGGCATTGAATAAAGGAGACATCACTCCCTGCTCAGGAGCTTCCTCAATTGTGGGAGGTGACAGCACAAAACTCGACAGTGAGTTGAAGAGCATGCCAAGGTGGTGACTGTTGGGGTGCACAGAGCAGGCGTGCCAGGAAGCCCCCCCGGCTCCTACAGGGCCACACGTGGATTGACTGGGAGAGATCCGGGGGTCCCAACAGAGGTGACAGCCAGTGAAAAGGCCCCACGTCCCGGAGTGTTGGTGAATAATGGGACAGGGGTCTGGAGGTGGGGTTGGGAGTAGCTATGGGATATATCTGGGGGGAGAACTGATGGGGCCTGCTGATGGATTGGGTGGCAAGGGGGCACGGGAAAGCAGGTGCCAGGGAGCTCCATGTGGGTGTGACGGTGGGGCTGTTCTCGGAGCTAAGGAAGCCTCTGCAGAGGAGAGCCCTTGGAGGTCAAAGCCCTTTCTTTTGGAAATAGGTTGTAATTCCGGCTACCCTCTGCCCTGATTTCCACTCTCAGCCAGGCCATGGGGATACCAGGGCATATGTTAGTTCTCTCAATAGCCCTGTCAACCAAGCATCAGCACCCGTGTCACAGAAGAGCAGTGTGGCTCACAGAGGCCAAGCCACTCGTCCAGGGTCCTTACTGGTGGAACAGCCAGCCCCACGCTGGCCCCACAGCTAGCCTCACGGCCCTGGCTGGTTTCCCTGCTGCCGTCTTAAGAGCACTGTGTTGTTTGTTTTTAATTTTTATTTTTTGATACATGATTACTAACGTCCATAGTTTGCATTAGGTTTCACTCTTGGGGGTGTTCTATGGGTTCTGACAAATGCATAATGGCGCACATCGGCCGTTACAGTATCACACAGAAGACTGTCACTGCCCTAAAAACCCTCTGTGCTCTGCCTGTTCATCCCTCCCTCCCCCCAGCCCTGGCAACCACCGATCTTTTCCCTGTCTCCACAGTTCTGCCTTTTCTAGAAAGCCTCAGAGTTGGAATCGCACAGAACGCAGCCCTTTCAGACTGGCTTCTGTCACTTAGTCATGTGCATTTAAGTTCACTCCATGTCTTCATGGGTTGTAGCTCATTTCTTTTCAGTGCTGAGCAGCATTGCACAGTCTGCCTGCACCAGTTTATGAATCCACCCACGCACTGAAGGACCCCCTGCTAGCTGTCAGGTTTGTGCAACTATGAATCAAGCTGCTGGAGACATCCTTGTGCAGGTTTTGGTGTGGATGTGAGCTCTCAGCTCATTTGGCCAAATACCAAGGAGTGCAGTTGCCGGATTGTATGCTAAAATTATGTATAGTTTTGTGAGAAAATTCTAACGAAGCGGTTGTAGTGTTTTGCGTTCCCACGGCTGTGATGAAAAGCTTCTGCTGAAGAGCCCTGTTTTTCAAAGGGTCTCGTCTGTGGACCACGCTGACTAACCATTTTAGGCGAATTAAACAGAAACCTCATTATGATTTGGACATGACAGGGACAAAGCACAATTAAAAACTAGCACTGAGGACCGGCCCCGTGGCACACTCCGGAGAGTGCCGGTGCAGCCGCGGGTTCGGATCCTGTGTGGGGATGACCGGTGCACTCACTGGCTGAGCGCGGTGCGGGCGACACCAAGCCAAGGATTGCGATCCCCTTACTGGTCACAAAAAAGACAAAAAAAACAAAACAAACAAACAAAAAAACTAGCACTGATGACTGTGGCTTTATCTCAGTGTCCCGGCAGCTCTGACCTGGCTGGGGATGAAGAGCCGGAGCTGCTGGTCACTTCCTCATCTGGTCGGCTCGTGGTAGATTGTGTCATGGTCCACATATTCGCTGCCCCTCCCCGCAGGAGGAGACTACAACTCCTGTATGTTGATTGCTTTCCCTGTGGTCCTCACTCTGCCTACCGATCTATCCAAGGACTCATGCTCCTGCATGTTGACGTCAGACTTGGCCACGTGACTTGCTCGGGCCAGTGCAAGACATGTGGCCAGACATGTGTGTGATGCATCATTGCTCAGCAGAACCTGTAACATCAGTGTTCTGTGCCATTTCAGCCCACTGTGGTAAGACCCGTACACTCCCAGATAGGGGCTGCTGCTTTTGTGAAGACAACACCGCCCACAGTGCTGGGATGTCTCCACACCTGGTGTAAGCCACTGAGCAGTTTGGGCTCTTTTGTCATGCAGCGAAATGTCAACGAATCTGACAGATACAGTTTCCTTGAAGATTCTAACTCACTGTTAGAGGGTTTTGGGAGTGACAACAAGGCCTGGTGGTGCTGTGAAGCTGTTCTAGATGATTGCAACATGGTCCAGAAATGGTGCAGAGGCTGTGTCCAGGGTCCTGCAGGTGCTAAATCGAGCCTGTCACATTTAAGGGCTGGAGGTCAGACATTTCCACTCAGACATGACCAGGTCCCATGTCCTCTCTGTGG